TAGAAGATCGTAAGTTCGATCGATAAGAAAGGGGGAAGGAATTCTTCCATTGCTGTGATTTCGGGGTGGGGGGGGGGGGAAGACGACTCCACTGCTGTTTGTAAAACTCCGTGAAGTTGTAGAACTGGGTTATCTTCGGAAAAAAAGCAGATGCCACGTCTCATTGGTGGTTGGCCGGGTTAGTCTCTGTTTCGAGGCGAGGATAGCTGATTGGAATCCCAGAAGGCGCAGTGCAGATCGATAAGGTCAGATTTGTATGGTGTCGTAGCTGCGATCGTGGTCGTGTTTCTATGTCGTGGTGCATCTGCCGGTGTAAATGATGGGGATCGGGTACAGAAATGTGAGAATCACGGCGAAGCGGAAGCTGTTTCAGCAATGCATTCTGACCAATTGGGGCGGAAGAGCTTATCGACGACCTAGTCGAGGTGGTTGTGGTCACAAATGTGCGATCAATCGTCAAGTCAAATGCGACTTCGAAGAAGACGTCACGGATTCACAAACTATTGAATGTTCCTTTTGAGAGTAGATTAAGGCTGCGTAGTAGCAAACCTATTGATTTTTAAGAATTACTTATTGATTGTTGATATTTAGTTTGGGGTTTGAAGTAGGACGGTTTTTTTCGAGTCCCCATCAAGACCTGTTTCTGTGGAACTCGCCTCAACACTGCCAGCGTCATTACGACACAGCAGTGAGACCGGGGGGGGGGGTATTTGGTGTGGTGCGATTTCAAGTCTTAATGACTTGTCAGATTGAGATCAAATCCTTCACGAATCGCCAACGACTCCACAATTTTGGTTTTATTTGTCGGCTTGTCAAAGGCTTGGTGTGTTGTAGAAAATGTTTATCTTCATCTTGCGAGGTAACAGGTTGGAGTGTGTGCGCATGTGTAACTCGGCCGCTGCATTCTCATTGGTCGAGCTCGCTTTTATGATGGTCGCCGACATTGTAATTCGACCAACTGGAGTTGGTGTTGTTGAATGACGCCGCCTGATTCTGTCCTTGCTTTTGACCTTTCAGCCTTACGTACCCCTCAATCGCTGCCGCACAAGTCACCGATGGAAACAAGTTTGAGTGCGGACACGCCACCTGGTGGCTCTTCTTTCTCGGACGAGTTGCCCACCCCATTTGTGAGTTCAACTAGCGTTGTGTCCTAATTCCTGCGTCTTGTCTCAACCCTCACTCGTTGATTGGTCAACTCTCGGTTTCGCCCAATTTGATTGGTTCTTCGACAGAACCAATCAGTACAGTGCGCTACAATTTTGAATCCGGGGCTAATACGACAGCAATGAAATCCACATTCGACTAAACAAGTCCGTATTTTTTTTAACTTGAGGCGTGTGGTTTTGTGCCTCTCCGTTAACTTTGTTTGTTAGGTGAAAAATCCCCTGATCATGCTCATTCCCGACTTTCGTCTTTTAGTCTCCATGCACGGCGCCTTTTTCCATGTCAAATCTTCGTCTAGAAACGCCCTCTCAATCGGCTTCTTTGATATCCCCTCCAAGCCAGAACAGGCGCGACGCGGATGTTCCAGCACGTCGGGTAGGCGTCTAGCCAACTGTCTGCCACCTGGTTGTGTGGCTTATTCCTTTTTTAACGACTCACACGCCTTCCACACGTGTGTCCGTTTTTCGTGATTGATTATCAATTTATTACATGCATGGCATCTGTTAGGAAGTGAAACACCATGCTGCGATCAGACGCCAGTTTGGTCAACAAACGCGAGAACCGGAACAGTAAAACAACGGCGGCAGATTAGAATACTGGAGTGGGGTCATTCCAAGGATGGGGCTTTGCTTAGCAACGCAATTCTTGGATCAAGTCCGCCTTTCTACTCTCCAATTGGCTAATTGCACGCTTGACATGACCTTCACACCCTGCCAATCAGGATTCTCTCCGCTATTGCACTCTCATACTCCTTGTTTTCTCATTTAGCGCCAGACCTTGAAGCGTCCCCTCATTCACCTCCCAGTTCCAGTCAAGCGCGCCCGCCATTTCTGTGAGTTCACCATCGTTTTAACCGCCAGCAATACTTAAACAAAGTAGGCGCGAAATTCAAATGCCCAGTTAACTAACATGCTGCATTCGCAATTATGCACCATTAGCCGGCCAGGTTGTCCAAAGGAAAGCAGAATCGAATTGGGTAGGGTGCTTCCTTGATGCTGCTCTGCTTGTAAATCAATCGAACTAAACAGCATCTCGCACACCACCAAATGAATCTGTTGATACTCAAAATGAGGACTAAAGAGCTGTATTTCCATCCTGTCCTGACAACGATAATTTCGAAAAACGTGTTCAAGACGTTCGACTGTGTCGTGCGCTTACTAAGGTCGACAAAATTGTGACTTGATCCGTGATTTACTGAGCCGTAATTCGCCGATTAGCATTGTAGCGATTACTGAAAAACCACACACTGACAGTCTGACTGCATTTTGTCCCTTTGCTAATCGAAATAGACCACGCGTGGACGGCGAACAGTGGTTTTACTGGAGATACTAGTCAGTAGTTTGGCGGATCTCGTTAACTGTTTATTTAGGTTTTAAGTAGTTTAGTCTAGCCTTGTGGTTGTTTTTGTTGAGCCAAGAGACACCTATCCTCCGCTCAAAGCACCACACAACCCGACCAGGATGTGGACCTTGACAGTGAGGCGTCGGGTGCGTCGAGTGAGACTCCCCACAACCGTCAGCACCCCTCGCACGACCAGTTTGGGCTCTTCGGCAGTGATTCGACTTTCCACGATGATGATGATGATGATAAGAGGATGGAGGAGGAGGAAGAGGAGGAGATTCCTTGGTGTATGTTTCTTCATTAAACCAACGTTTTGTGTGTCAAGTAGGTCGGTTGTTTCTCAGTCTGTGTCTTGTGGACGTGCTAGCCGCGCCCAGTAGTCGGTCTCCTACATTGTAATTGTTCGTTTTTTTCAGTTATGGACGTGTCCTCCTCGCCTGTCACCTCAACGGAAGCCACTTCGACACCTCAAACGTCGATGAGCGAAACGCCTAAGATCACGAAGTCTTCGGGAATCGCCATCAAAGGCAAACCGTCCATTTTCTCGACCGCCGTTAGTTGCTTTCACTTTGTCCTCGCGTAGTCAAAAGTAAATCGAGATTTTAGCTAATTTTCCACTCGCATGTTTAGTCACCGCGTAGGTCGTCTGGCGAGAAGGCTGAATCGGGAGATCAGACGCCGGCTGCACCCACCCTCTCACAAAAGCCAGCACTACAGGTGGTTAATCTTCCTACTCTACGCGTGCAACCCATCACATTGGTCGCAGCAACTCCCCTCAATCCAGTATGCGCTCCGACCAATCGTAAGTTGACCAGCTGTGTGCGTGGGATTGGTCAGCTCTCGTCGTTGCCTTATCTTCCTCTCTATGTCTCTCTCTCTCTGCTTCATTCTCCAGGCACTTTTGCTGTGTCCCAGTCCCGTCTACTGGAGCACATAAACTCGCGACACCAGCTATCGACTCGACAGAGGATGCCTAGAGTCCAGTACCGAGTCGTCTCCTCTGTGCCAGGAGGAGGAAGCCCTGAATTGTCTTCTCCCGTCGCCCCTCTCGCCACACCCTCCGCCACCACCTCGTCCTCCGCCTTGCCCCCTTCGCGGCTGTCCCCCTTGATGTCGCCGTCTGCTACCAAAGAAAACGTTGCACCGATTCTCCATTCGAGGGCAAACAAGGTAGGCGGGCAACTACCTGCATCCCACAGCCATGTGTACGACTCCTTCTTTCTCTATCTCTCACGCACACGTAATAGTTTGTTTTCGTTTGTCGCACCACAATTCTCAGTTTTCAAATTCAATATTCATGAATCTGACTCGTGTTAAACAAATGTACAAGTCTCACGCGGCCATTTGATTGCGTCCTACCTCAAATATCTTTTTTTTCTACTCTTTAGTCACATAAGTTCAATCGAAAGGTTAGTTTGCCGAAACTTTTGCCGTTGTTCTTCGTGTTTATTTTTCAGTGTCCATGATAATTTGTAGAAAGCGGCTTCACGTCATGTGGACATTCTGGAAACGCTGCCGCGACAACAATGAGATGAGCATTTTTTCCACCCATGCATTCATTTTCCTCTGCTGCTTTTTTTGCTGTTTTGTACCATTACTTTATCATAGTGTTGTGTGCGCGATGTCGTTTCGCCGAATTTATCTCGCAAAGATCACCTATACTACACTGTGAAAACACTTCTCTTTTGTTTCATTATAATTATTTGTCGTATAACACTTGGGGGCTCAAAAAAGAAAAACATGTGTTTGGGCAACTTTTCAGAGCTGTGCATTAAGGTGCGTCGGGTTAACGGATCATTTCTGACCGTGGGTAGGTTGGCAATGGCCTCAGGCCCAAGGCCATGCCTTGAGGAAGGCGACATAGCGGCAGGGAAAAGAAGGACAAAAAACAGGCCAGACCGGCTTGCGTGGATCGAGTGGCGACCTGTGCAATTGGGACCTTGAATGGTCTTTCAAAAAAACAAGCCTAGTAAAACAACTTATTTAAATGTAAACGACGTGACGCATTTTGCAGTGTATTTTCTGACTGAGGCTAAACATGTGCGCGCTCCCTTCATGGATTTAGGGGTTGACGTCGATCATTCTCCAGTTACTTAATTCAGTTATTCAAACCCAACATGTGAGGTGGCATTTTCTTATTGCCAGATCATTAGGGCAAAAGTGAGGCGTTTAAAATTCTACAGTGCGTGATGATTATTGAATTGTTAACCCTTAAAATTGTGCATTCTTAGAATAGTGCATTGGGGGGAAGTTTGGGCCTTTTATTGTTGCTAAATTTATTTATTAATTCATAACGGAGTTTTGGTTGGTCCAAAATTCGACACTGGTAAATAGAAAAACCCTGCTTGCAGTTTCCAAAATGTAAACAAAGTGAAGCAATGGACATGTTTGTTCACCGACGGTTGCCATTAAATAAGTGAAATGTGACACTCCCTTTTTATTAAATCACAAAAGACCTAGTTATGAAAAAATCGTGAATTTAAACACAGTTTTTTATGGTTATTTCACTTAGAAAGCAACTCGTTTTGAGTTATCGTGTTAGTCATCGAGGTGACTTTAAAGATGTTGAATATGCAAAACAAATTTTAGCAATGATTATGTTCGTCGTGTTGATGTAAACTTTTATTAGGTGTTTGCGAATTATCACGAAAAGTATGTGTTCATCATTTGTTCCGACTTTGATTGGTCGTTTGGCTGCCTGCGAACCAAAGCCGGCTAAAGTAGCCTGGTGGTGTGAATGGTCATGGGAGAAGTAGGCCTAATCTTGTTTGTAATTGATCTAATGTTGTCCAGAATTATGTCAACACAGAGTATATTTCAGACTTCGAATCTGATGCTCGCAGTGAAGCTGATTCAGTCTATTCATCCAGGTGCTTTCATCAATTTATCGATGTTAACCTGACAATTTCCGAAATTTAACGTTTGACAGGACTGAAGACGATGGACTGTCAGTGTGTGTTGGTGAAAAAAGACATTCTTCTGGTTTAAACCCACCTACTGGCAGGAAACCTGAATCGAAGCAGAGGTATATTGCAAACTTTTTAATATGTGTTAACTTATTCTAGACCAACTCCATCCCAAATGATTCCTTTGGACGCTGTATCCTTTTGTCGATGTTTTCATTTCGTATCTATCATTAAATTTTTGTTTGACCGTTTTTTTCTTTAACTATGTTTACCGTAGTATCAACGTCACAAAAAGATGGTAAATGACTATCTTCAATTTTACGGTGGTTCTAGGAAAGATTTCAAACGAGACGAGTGAGTTTTGTTTGATACGTATTCCTTTCTGCTTGACACTTTCGTCCTTTGATGTGCTTTTTTTAGATCTAACGACAAGCGTGATATTGATGTAATCAGAGCCAATAGTCGGTTCGTTTGGGAGGAAGGCGATAATCCAGTTAGCTGGTGAGTTTTTCCCGCACCTGGATGCCTGTTTTTTGCTACTTGACTTTAGTTTCACGTTTGTCTTCTAAGGGAGGAAAGGTTGGCAAAGCGTTACTGGGACCGTCTTTTTAAGGAATACTGCATAGCGGACCTTTCGCGCTATAAACACAACAAACTTGGTCTTCGTTGGAGATCCGAGAGGGAAGTGGTTTCTGGGAAAGGTACATTCTCGAATTCTTCCTCCAATGAGGAAATTGCACGTGCTCGCGTCCTAGTACTTCTTTTGCTTATACATTTTTTAGCGACCGTTTAACTCTAGTATTCAAATTTAGGCCAGTTTGTCTGCGGCGCCGTCGACTGCAAGGAGGTGAATTTTCTTCGTAGCTGGGAAGTGAATTTTGCGTACACCGAGAAGGGTGACAGGAGAAATGCCCTCGTGAAGCTGCGACTCTGCCCATCTTGTTCACACAAACTGAACTATCACAAACAGTAAGTATACTAGTCAAGTGCCTGTCACTCCTGAATTTGTTCTGCTTTATTATCAAGACTTCCACATTGTTTACAGAATGGTACAGAGGTATTTGTGGTTTTTGAGTAATGTTTAAAGTTGTGCATATTAATTCAAATCGAACGGCTTACTCGCCTAAAAGCAGAGCGATTCTTTTTTATACCCATCTCTGTTTTTAACCGATTGTTTATGTGTGATTTTATTCTTGTCTGCACCATTTCACAAAACGTTAGCTTGTGTGCGTTTTGTTGAAGTCGCTACATACAGCTTTTTTTTTATAAAATGCTAGGCCCCAGTACCAGCAAATAAATACCATGTGGGTTTTTTTAAGGAACATGTGAATTAATTGAGCCTGTCTAATTGCACGTTCTCAAAACGGAATTATTCTGAGAATACGCGATAATTTAGTCGTCGATCATGTCGGAATCCCCTTTTATCACTTTCTGCAATCGATTAGGTGTTTGTGCTACAACATTGTCAAAGTCTTGAGGAGGAAATTTAATTTTCCTGAACACCAATTTCTAAGTTCCAATAAAATTCTCAAAAAACTTGTTCTTTGGCCAGTCTGCCGTTGTCGTACTTGCGTCTCTTTGCCAGTACAAATTTCGTTTCCTTTTGTGTTACTAAATGCTGGCGTTGACGTTAGAAGGGTGAAATCGGCTAAATCCCAAAACCATAGATTTTCAATTCCGCAAAAAGCTCTCCCTTTTACTTCTTCAGGCACGCTGAATTTGTTGCCTCGGGTAAAACTGCAGACGATCGGGGCACTGACGACTCCGAATTGGCCCCCAAACGTCCTCGTGAACCCACTCCAGAGGGTGTCAGTGAAAGCGACGCCTGGAAGGCGGTCCCATCCACCGAACAGCAGCGGCAGCAGTCGCAGCCAACCACGGAGGACGAGTTTGAGGACTACCTGAAGAATATGTTTATGTAGCTAACTTACCACAAAATTCAATAATCAAAGCCTATTTTGCAATACCGGGGTCCAGTACTGACATTTTAAGAGAAATGATAAAAATTAGCTGATGCTAAAGCTTTCTTGATGTGAACAGTGCATATCGTTTGCTGTTTTATCGTGGTGTTTTTATAAAATCGATAGTGGAGATTAAAAGTGGTTTGTCGTGTTCCATCTGAGGGAGTCAGTGCTCCAGCATGTGGTCTTGAACCACGCCAGGGCCACGGAATTAACCCTAATCCGATCACGCTTCTCTGATACCCGTGAGGAAGACAAGACGGGAGAGAGGACGTGGACACAACCGTTTACTTCAGAGCACAACCAAAACTGGTGTCATGTGTGGGTTTGCGCGTATTTTTCTACCTCGGATGTGTGAGTCATACATGCACTAACATCGAGACCTATGTGTGGGGATACCCCAAGATAAATATCCCTGTGAATGAGGAGGGAGTTGAGGATTCGCGCGACTGGCGAAATGCTGCGACAGGGGGGACCCTGTGTGGGAGTTAGAGCGACCGGGTTAGGGGATTGAATAAACACGATTCACAACACAGCATTCCTTAACATTATTTATGTAACTGCCCTTACTACGCTAGTTCAGTGGATGAGTCACCCACGGCACTGCCGACAGCTCCATCTGTGTTAATCGACCTTGACCAATTGGGTCAAGGTAATCTTTTACTTATTTAAGTGGGAATTTTCAGCCCATCACTCAGCCTCCACGTACGAAGTCCTGATTTACATCAGCATGGGAAGATTATGTCTAACGACACACATGAGACCTGGGGTATCGGTTATTGGAGTGTGTAGGTCTCGGTTGCTGGCCAAACGCAATATCCCTGTTCCCAAGTTATTTTTTTTATTGCTTCTAGTGGATGTCTAGTATTTTGCAATTCAAAATGACATGATTTAAAAATTTCACAAATATTTGAGAGCCAGTATATTGCTGATCTAAGATGACGTTGTCATTTGAGCATCGTGCGTTAGGATGCAGCAAGGCTTTAGGTGTAAGGGAGGTACATAGTTTTGTCAACGCACTTAAGTATTTACTCTATTTGTATGTAAATTGGACCGCAACCCATAGTAGTAAAGCATTAAAGAGTTCACTGATCCGTAAAGAAGAACGGGTTTTAATGTTTAAGATCTACAATAAGACTCAAAATGCATTCAACGTTGGATTCTAAAAATATTTTTTTCCCCAATTAATGTAAACTACTGAAAATTTGCAGTTGATCTATTGTATTATGTCAAAAAGTTAAAACTAGATCACCTGCGTGGACCTTACGATTCAACGATCGAGCCATTTTAGATTTCATAGTAAGTATCATTTTTCAGCTCATTTGGGAGAAAGTGAACTCACGCCTAAAGTCAGCCTTTTTTAAATGACCAGATTTGACCTACAGTGCTTGGACTCGCATTGGCCTGGGAGATAAGTTAGAACATTAGATGCAAACTTTACAAATTAAATCAGAATCCTCGCTTTCTCCAATTAGGGCTTCCAACGTTAACCTTATTAGGAGTCACAGCATACTGTAAGCATCCTAAAAGCATTGTTGCGTACAAATAAAAGCCGAACCTAATTTATCGTGTCCTTTACTATTCTCTTTTATTTCTCCTGATCATTATGTACATAACAAGGATTTAAACTCCAGCCCTTAAAATCGTGTTATTGATGCTGCCATTATACTGGTGTACGTAAACTTGATCGCAGCCAGACTCAGAATATCAGTGTTAATGATTATTTTTCAAGTGAATCATTTCAATCCGTAGGTTTTCTATTGGCCCTAAAGATTGAGAGTTACACTTGCAAAATTAAATAGATGTCATATGAAAAATTTTATATTTGTATAACCACTTTTAGTTTTTACTGAATTTATTATTTTATATATTTCTTCAAATAATATACACACTTTATGAGCACTATTACGCCATCGGATGCAATATTAATTTAGGTCATTCCCATTGGCTCCGCCTCTTTCGAATTTCTGTTGTGCACCTATCGTCCCATTTCTGCAATGGAAAGATCTCCCCAAAACATACTGGCGGACAAGGTAATCACTGTGGCTTTTCTACCTTACAATTGTTAGTTTTTAAGTAAAATGACTTTGAAAAGCACAGTTATCTCTCGGGTGTATTGCCTAAAAAATTATCTTCGGATTCACCAAGCAGACCCTGAATTAGGTTTCAACTTTACGTTGTCTGAAATTGTCAACACTTTTAGTAATAATATCACAATTTACCTAGGGTTGTTTTTTTGGACGGTAGAATGTAAGAAAAGTGCATCAAGTATTCCTTCAAACATTATTTTAGCGCGTTTTCGTGGCCCCAAATGACTCCGATTTCGAATGCCTCAAACAGTGCCTAACTATTCGTCTTGAAGGTGGTCAAGGCGAATGTTTCGTCGAACTCGGCATTGGTGGTATGTAGTATACTCTTCTTGCCGATCAGATTGATTTCCTTCTTGTTTGTTTACGTCCGTATACTTTTTCTTCTTTACATTGAAATCAAACTAGTATAATCATTTCTACTCGACACTCCGTTATGCAAACTGAATAAAATTTGATTGAACGGTTTTCGCTTGTAGCAAGCTTCCAGTCCTTTAAAAATAAGTTTATTTTCAAATTCTGTAATAATTACACAAAGTCTTTTACTACTATTTATTCCCGTGATAAATTCATTTGACTACTTAAACATGAACACATCCATGTCTGACTTACATTGGTCACCCTTAATTGGCTCTGTTAACTAAAGTCCTTTTCATCTGACACAATTAGAAGCCGTAACCTAACGCTAGTAACAAGCGTGACCGAACATAATTCAATTGGTTTACGTGAATGCGCTTCGCGTAACTGTGTTCTTTCAGGGAATCGGTGTTTAATCGATCCCATATAAACTGACTTGCTCTCCTGTACATTACACACGCACACTGCTGCGGCATTAATAAATAGGTCAAGCTACACACCACCTGCACCTTTCATTTTCCTTTCGCCGGCCCTGGTGTGGTTCCCAAAACCGCGCCGGTGTCTGCTGCATCCATAATGCGAATCTTGCTGTGATTTCCTACGATGCTTGCGTCGTGTGCAAGCGTCTTCCAAATCAGGCGCCCCTCTGATTTCTCGTCTACTTTTCCAGAGGGTCAGGACCCGGGTCTCCCGCCAGCCGACATGGACGCCAGTGTTGCAACCCTGCAGCTTCTTGCTCAGCTCCTAAACGCCAAGCTTATACATCTTAGAGATCGCACAGTGGTGCACCAACCCTCCACAGCTTCCGACGCAGCCCCGGCCACTGCGCCCGCAACCGGCGGTAAGGAGCGGACAAAACGGAAGGCCAAGCGCGCCAATGCCTCCGCTAGTGCCTCCACGTCCCCTAATGCTTCCACTACTTCCGCCACCACGATCCCTGCCGCCTCCACCACCGACGCTGCAGCTACTGCTGCTGCCGAAAAACCCACCACCCCTACTACCACTGCCGCCGCCGCCAGTTCAACTGGACATTCCGCGGACTGGATTGTAAAAGACTTTCTGCTGAGACAAGTAATCGGAGATCGTGATTTCATAGATATCAGGTGCGGAGCTTGTCTTTCTCCCAAACCCATGCTCTAGTTTCCCATCTATGCACACTGCGTTCTACTGTCCTAATTATGTGGTTTTACTGTGGTTTCTAGTTTTCATGTGCACTTATTTTGTGTTCCCACGTTCTTCGTGCGTGTTTTGCACTTTTTAAGCACGATTAGGAGACCTCAGTCAGTAGCTTCGTTGTTAGACAAAAAGGAGTGTTCAAAGTACCCTAGGCAATTTGCGAGTTCAAACGCGGTTTTGATGATTGAGGTCGTTGTTAGCACAAGCTCGCACTCTCGACACTAAGAGCAATGGATAGACGTGTCCCCGATTAGCAAATGGGCACCGGGGCGTCTCCCCAATTAGCCAATGGGATGCCGGCGAATCACTAGGCTACTGGGATGTGCGTGGACGTGAATTAGCGTGCATCACTGCCTTATCGTCGGTTTGTTTTGTTTCCAGGGTAGCAGTGGTCGGAAATGTGGACGCAGGCAAGTCCACCATGCTGGGTGTTCTCACCCACGGTGAATTGGACAACGGACGCGGTCTCGCCCGCCAGCACCTCTTCCGACACAAACACGAGCTCGAGTCGGGACGGACGAGCTCCGTGAGCAACAACATCCTCGGCTTCGACGCCGACGGCAAGGTTGTCAATCGGGCTGTCCACGGCAAACTCGATTGGGCCAAAATCTGCCAGGCGTCTACAAAGGTTTGTTTGGCCGCGTTGCCCTCTTTCGAATTAGAGTACCGACCGCTGAAGCCGTTTGTGAGTGGGTCGGCGCTCCCTGTGTTGTTGTTTAATCGATTAGAATGCCTCCGCCACGACTGCTGGTCTCAGTAAATCGATGTGAATCTCCAAGCATAATTAATGGAGGCATTTAAATGCTGCAATCTCTCTCATGACAGTGGCGTTGTCTTGTTTTACCGAGTCAAATCTACCGCCGTAGAGACTTAGCATCATTTCAAGTGCATCAGCTTATGGCATTGCACCAAGTCTCTATTAGCAGAAAAGTGATTGGAATGTGTGCTTAGATTGTGCAATTCGATTTGAGATTGTGATTGGTTGCGTGTGAGGGAAACTTCGTCACATGATTCGATCATGCAGGTTGGTAAGTGCGCATGCTGTAGAAGGTGATTGGTTGCATGTGCAAGGTATTTCATCACATGATTTGATCATTCAGGTTGGAAAGGACGCAGGCTATAGCTGGTAATTGGTTGCGTGCGCAAGGTATTTCGTCACATGATTTGATCATTCAGGTTGGAAAGGACGCAGGCTATAGCTGGTAATTGGTTGCATGCGCAAGGTATTTCGTCACGTGATTTAATCATTCAGGTTGGAAAGGACACAGGCTATAGCCGGTAATTGTTTGCGTGTGCAAGGCATTTCGTCACGTGATTTGACCATTCAGGTTGGTCAAGGTGAACGTGTTCCATATTACCTCGTTGTTGCCTGCGTCATCTGTGGTTGTATTTTTACGCATAATCGACGGCTAGTGGTTCATAAAAACCTTTTGAGGTGATCAATTGTTCGAGTCTGTTGTGCTAGTTGAAGTGTCGCCTGCCATTTGTCAGTCGTCAAACCACAGTTAATTCACATGCAAATTAGAAGGCGTGTCGTCTGCGCCATAACCCCAGCAGTGTGTGCGTGTGTGTGTGTGTCCCGTGTGTGCCTGTGTGTTTGAGTGTGTGTTCCGTGTGCGTGTGTGTTCACTGTGTATGTGTTACGTATGTGTGTGTGTGTATGTGTTCCGTATGCGTATGTGTTCCGTGTGCGCGTGTGTGTTCCGTATACGTGTGTGTGTTCCATGTGCGTATGTGTGTTCCGTGCGCGTGTGTATGTGGTCCGTGTGTGTGCGCGCGCATTATACATCTGTGAGACGTTTACTGCGTAAATCGGAGCAACCAATGCCGTTAACCCTTTCCACACTGCTCAGGTGATCACCTTTATCGACCTGGCCGGCCACGAGCGGTACTTGAAGACCACCGTCTTCGGTCTGACCGGTTTCGCGCCCGACTACGCGATGCTCATGATTGGAGCGAACGCGGGTATCGTGGGAATGACCAAGGAGCACCTAGGTCTCGCGCTAGCCCTCTCCGTCCCTGTGTTTGTTGTCATCACCAAAGTTGACATGTGTCCTACCAATGTCCTCAACGAGACCGTCAACTACCTCTTCCGACTCCTCAAGTCCCCGGGGTGCCGAAAAATGCCGGTTCTTGTGTCCACGCAGTGAGTCTACCCGTCATTAAATATCATGTCTACTGATGTTTTATTAGTAGGTATTTATGATTCATCGACGTTTGTTTCACCGTCTTTCTTAGAGATGGCGTGGTATGCAGTGCCACCAACTTCACATCTGAGCGCATGTGTCCAGTCTTTCTCGTCTCCAACGTGACTGGTTCCAACCTCGACCTCCTCACATCCTTCCTGAACCTCCTTTCAACCCCCCGATCCAATATGGACTCCTCGCCCTACCCACTCGATAAGCCAGCAGAATTCCAGATTGACGAGCTATTCACGGTGCCGGGCGTGGGTGCCATCGTCTCCGGGACGTGCATGAGTGGTGTCATCAGCGTCAACGACAACCTCCAACTGGGTCCCGACACCTCCGGACGCTTCTTTCCTGTCCTCGTGAAGAGCATCCACAGGAAACGCATGCCCGTGCAGTCCGTGAAGGCTGGCCAGACTGCCTCATTCTCGTTGAAGCGACCGAAAGGCTGCCAACTACGGCGGGTAAGGCCGCACCATTTCTCTTGCGCATTCTTTACTACTGATATCTTGCTAGTAGGCGTAATTTGTAATTTGTAGGGGATGGTCCTGCTGGCCAAGGGCACCGACGCGGTGTCCTGCGTGAACTTTACGGCCACCGTTCTGGTCCTCCACCACCCCACCACCATCAGCGTCGGCTACCAGGCGATGGTGCACGCGGGCCCGATTCGACAGACCGCCACGATCCTCAGCATCGGCGCGGGCCAGGGCGAGGAGCGTCTGCGCACGGGCGACAAGGCGGAGGTCCACTTCGCCTTCATCAACCACCCGGAGTTCCTTCACAAGGGCACCAGGCTCATCTTCCGCGAGGGCAAGACCAAAGCCGTGGGTGAGTGGTGGTTCCGCTGCGCCAGCTTCTACGTCCTTTTTTGCGTGTGTCAATCACGTGCGTGTGTGTGTGTGTGCTTTTTGCAGGCACAGTGAACCACATCGTGCCGTACCAGCCCGTCCTCGCTCCGCCGGCCGCCGGACGATCGAAGAAGACACAGAAGCCGCCGAGTCGAACGCCCGTGGTGCTGAGCACTACTCCACCGCCGCCGCCCACTCCGGCCGCCGAAGCCGACGTCCACGACGACAAGACGTAGGGGGCTTTTCGACTACTCACCTCCCTCATCCGCGCTGTGTACTAAGTCGACGGGCTGTTAATCGACGACCCCTTGATGTGCTGGGCTCGAGTCTGGCATCCAAGACGCGTCGTTGACAATGGCAACAGATTCCACCGTCGCATATTGTTTTGGCAGTTAATGCCCGCCCCCTCCCCCCACCGCCTTGTCCCCTACTGCTTGTGTACTCTGCTATGAACGCAGAAAAAAACACGTCGAGGTCCACTTAGGCCTTTTCTCTAGCGATAGATCGACGTTTCCGCAGTCGTGGAAAGGTGTCCCGCCTCGAATTTTGCGTCCCTTCGCTCTTGACCCACCACATGGTAAAGGGTGTGTGGTGATTTCACAATTTATTACATAAACGAGCCAAAATAAGTACACGCATGAAGGGAGAGTGGAGAAGGACAAGTGGACTTGTGGCTTCTACCAACTTGGCTGAGTGTTGGCCAGGCGACGCATGCGTCTGAAAGGAAGGGAAAGAAACTGCGTTACTTGCCCTGCTGTTTTACAGAACTCACTCGAATAATCAAGCGGATTAGAACAGCGCTCACCGAGTATTGCGGTCCTGATCGCGGATCTTCTTCTCCATCTCGGCGTCGGTGAGCACCTCCACGATCGGACTCCACTGATCGGCCTCATTGGGGCTGCGGTAGACCACGTCGATTGTCGGCAACGGAGATTCACTTAAAGCACACAGGGGGGTTTTGCTTTGGGTGGGTGGGTGAAGGGGTGACACAAGTACCGAGCAGGCTCAAACAACTCACGTGAAGGCATAGAGCCTCTGGTGCCAAGCCAGCTGTCCGCGGATGCTGTAGGCCACAGCAGTGACGAACTCCCCGCCCAGACCCAACTCCGCACAGAGACGCGCAGCGAACTGCTCGGGTGAGTTGGAGGGCTCGGAGAGGTCCCACTCGAACTGGTCCACCAACGACATGTTGCCGACGTGAATGTTCAGGCGGATGATGACACGCGTGTCCGTCTGACCGGAGAGGATATTCTCCACCGGGTGGGCTGCCACCTAAATGGTAAAAAAATGTATCGGGGGGGGGACACCAGTGTCCACGTAGCAACCAACCACGCAGCGCACTCACCTGCTGTCGGATTGCCTGGGAGATGGCGGGAACGAAGGAGATCGGGTTGAGGTCGAGGTCGTCGCAGAGGATTTCAGCGAACTGCTCCGGGGTGATGAGCTGTTCGGTGCGGTTCCAGGTGAAACAGTCTCTCAACTTCACTCCGTCGAATTCGATGTCTAGCCTGATGGGAACCAGGTGCTCTGGTTGTTGGGCGTTCTCGTGATACGCCACTGGATCGGAGTCGTCCAAGCAGATGGGAAAACTGGAGACCTTACTGGTGGTCTTATCTACGTTAAGCACAAAAGCGTTTTATGCCGTGGAAGAGGGGGGGGGGTTCGGACGTGAAAAAGGTGTGGGTTTACTTGATCGAGAGCGAGCAGCACTGGCGCCAGCCCCGATGGGAGTGGGACAGGGGACGGAGTCGAGGTGGAAGGAAGTGTTGGGCACGGAGGAAACCCAACGGCCCGACAGGGAGTTGGCTCCACGCGAGATATTGGTGTTTGCGCCGGCTTTGACCGGCGTGCCCGAGGCCTGGCCAAGTGCGTCGCCGGCGCCAACGATTCCCGCTGTGGTTGTCGCTGAGCCGAAGGCCCCACCAGATGCGGAGGCTGATGAATTCGCCAGATTCGGACGAATGGCGCTCGGAGCAATCGAATTTACTGTGCCATTAAGTCCGGTTCCGGAGAAACCCTAAAATTTGCGAGGAATCTCTGTGGTAACGAGGTCCAGGAAACCACAACAAGTCGGAACACATGGAATATGAAATTAACTAAAATGTTATGAGAGGCGCAAATCATGGGCTGGCTGAGGAACCGCGTTAACCTTTGTTTTACATTTGATTTACCTTAAGAGTACTTCTAATTCACGAATACGTTTATTCGTCATACTTTTTATTAGACTTTGTCGGATCCTACAAACACCTAAGATGAAAGCCACCAATTAAATACCTCGAAAGACTTGAAGCGATCTTCCCCACCGCCGATCAATTCGTCAACTTCGATTGCCCTTAAGATCGTGGCATTTAAGGCCGTGATCGGGGTCGCGAGACCTATGGATAAAAGACAGATCTTAGATAGGCACGAAAAAAGAGTCAAAAGAATAAATTACACTTTGTTTGCATAAAGTTAATTTAATTAGATTTCCCACGTTGCAAAGACGTACCCATCGCGACCAGCTTTTCGCGTTCTTCCGGTGTGGCAAGTCGTTTCCATAGGTTTGGATAACGTTTCAACAGTTCGCCTCGGAACAATCGCAAGTAGCGTCCAACCTCAAAAAGAAATTTTCGACAAATGTATGGTATAAAACAATGAGTAAAGTGCTAAACAATGACTGGACGCAGCTATAAGACTCAGAAAACCACTTTTATGCATGTCAGCCTTATATTTCCTGGTAGTTGTTCATAACAGTAGCAAGGGGTTTACGCTCACTTGATAAGCAGTCGAGTATAAATACAACACTCTAATAATAAGTGCGTCTTTAACAAGCAGAGACTCACTTTGGTGCAAACTCAGCAAAATCAGTTCAGTGTGTGAAAGCTGTGCATAATGCTTGAAAGTGAGAAATTCCTAACTATTTGGTTAAAACTGCCAAAGCATAATATGCGGGATCTAGAATTATTAACATACGACAGCAAAGACCAAATTAAAACCAAAAAACATGACTCTGCCAAACAGGTTCGGATAAAAGCAGTGTAGTAAGAGCCGAACATGCACCCACAAAATACTCACCTCGGAAGCCAGGTAGTAAAATTCCCCATCAGTCTCCAACTGAAACTCAATGGGTTTCTCACCGTACCGGAGTGTCGACTGCATTAAAAAATGGACAACGATAACAAAATTTTGCGACTGAAAAACCGGTCGTTAAAACAAAAGTCACGATTTCCATTATGGTACGCGAACATTTCTTTTTTGGGCTGTTATAATAAGTTGTTGTAAAGCAAGACCTGCGTTTTTAAATAATGGCAAACGTCATGTAATTACTAACAAGTTGAATTGAGAAGAATGCCAGTAGAATTTAATAATTTCACGTTTTTGACAACTATTTGGAAAATGCTTCACTAATGTGAATTTATTTGTGTACATTTTCTTACCTTTAATGTTCCTTTTATACTATTATCTAAATTCAAAGAAGCTTTTAGTAGTTCTCCTGAGTTAAGCATAAAAGTCTTGTAAACCTCTTCAAATGGATTTACCAGTTTTCTTAAAATTGACATCTTACAAGGAAATTATTCGTAACTATGTACGGACTGTTACTTTTCTCGTAGCATCTTTCCTTTACTAAAGGAGTTTTTAGATGTATTGACTTCATCCAAAATAAACATGAACCTTCAAAATCATTTTGGGACCCTAATTTAGTAAGCCGCATTCTAATTAATATTCAATGAATTCTGATTGACGCTGATAGTGAATCCATAAAAAATCATAAATGGTAATATTTCTACTCAAATGCAGCATTTTGTACTAATTTTTTTTTTGGCTTTTATTTGCCGCTGGAATTTTTATTAAGCAAAACATCGCTCTATGCTGTTTACCAAAATACTTCAAATCTCTCAAAACATCCTAGTGATTTTTTTGGTTTTCTATTTTTAGTAAATCTTCTCGTAAAGGTGTTTTGAATTTTTTTAATAGCATATTTACGCATGTAATGCAAATTCAGACTGCGAAACGTCGACTATGGTTTGAATGGTTTCTTGGGTTGTCATTTGAACAATATTCCATTGTTCTTTCTGGACCAATTTGAATGTTAAATAAACTGTCGGTATAGGTTCGGCAAGGTCAAAAAAGTCTATTTTACACCTCCGGTTTGCTCCATCGGTGTAAATAAAACCGAGTTTTATATTACAGTCAAGTTCTCTGGATACTTGAACTTCTCCATCACCTTTACATTGAGAAAATGAGTAATATATTTTTTTTTAAATTCCAAAATCCGCTTCTTTTGGATCCACTTGTACCAAATCCCTACTCGCTTAGTCTGCCGAAAATTACACTTGATCTCTGATAGTCTAAAATTAACTGAAATCCGACTGATTACGGTCTTAAATCACTAAATTCATCCAAAAACAGGTCCGAATGTTGTAAGATTGGAAGCCTTTGTCGGAAAATCTAAAGTATTAACTCGCCAAAATGAAATACTTTTTTGACCTCTACGCCAATATTCCCTGCTGGCAGAAACAACATTCCCAAATTGCGATGCAATACGGTGTAATTTGACTTGAAGAATCTCTGATGAAGTGGGAGGCGTTTATGCAACACTTGAATACACATTACTGAGATTGATAATAGGCTTAAAACACGTAAACGACTGAGTTATGTGTGTATTACGATGAGGGGCTGGCATGTGCGGTGATTGGAAGACAGGCAGATGGAGGAGGAGGGGGAGGAGGAGGAGTCGAGTTGTCGCACCCTCAAAGTTCGCTGAGGTTGGCGTAGGGCGGAGCTTGAGGTGTTTGGGTGTGCGGAGGGGAGGAAATGATGCGGTCGGGAGGGGACTGGTGCCGCAACGCGGGGGAGGGTGAGCGCGATCGCAGACACCCAATCTGCTCCGTTTTGGACGAGGAGAGAGACGACCGCGAGACCGGCGATAAGTCAGCTAACAGCGTAGACGTCGACGCGGTGGTAGAGGCGATCTTTGTGCTACCCCGCCGTCTGCGGTACTTCGTTCGGCTGTCGAGATTTCTCTGACTTTCAGACTAAGAAATGCGGAGTTTTTTTCAGTGACATCAATGAAAATTTGAGTATGACATTCTGAAGATGCACCCACTGGTTGCACTTTTAACTCTGATGCATTCTTTGCATGGAAACTTGTGCCCTCTTTAACCCAAGTCTTGGAAAATTGGGTTGTGATGAAATTAGATTGGTGACTGACATCATCAAATTAAATTGTTGAGGTGATTGAGGTTATACTATAACAACGTTAATTGTTTGTGAATGTGGCTGACTGCCTAGCCAACAAGTGAGTTAGCAAGGGTATGTAACCATGACAACCAGTCAGTTTAATCAACCAATCACCTAGAAGGGGTGAAATTTATTGATTGGCGCCACATTGTGATTGAGGAATCCCAACACTTTTCGGATTATCTGTGACTTCAAGTTGTGCTTCTAGATTTAACTTGTGCAATGGAGCAAAGATATTTAAAAGTCCCGAAAAGATAGCTTAGTCGATCAGATCTGAAAGCGATCGCTACAAAAGAAACAGACTGGTGTGGCAGGCAGACTGCGATCAGCTTGGAACGACGAGGCAAGCATAGGCGCACACTTGCACACACACCCACACAAATAGACGAAAAATTTGTTGGACCAAAGTCCACCAACCGCAGCGCCAGCAGTTGCAGAGGTCAAAACTCAAACAAAAGTAACATTGGCAAAACTTCGCTCTGAGAGCAAGCAGCAAGCTGACATGATTCGCCCGGAATCGATTTTGCAATTGGCTGGCGGAAGCCCGGGAAATCAATTTTAACCCCAACCAGGCAATCACCAACAAGTGTACAAACTGATTACACTAACAATGAAGGGACAAGGGGCGAATTGCAAAAATGGAGAGAAAACTTCAGTTTTGTGTGTGGTGTGCTACCGAGTCGGCAAAATGACATGTCGACAGTCAGCGAGACCAATTTTTGTAGCCTCGCGTGACTAATTTCAGCCGAGGTGGCTCGTACTTTGCCTAACTTGCTACAAAAAAATAAAGTGCCAGACAATTCCAAACTAATGATGATCGGAATTCAAAGCAAAAAACACTAAACTACTGGGGGTGTGCAATTGCTGATTCAAATCCGCGGAAACCTGCAGTTTGTCGATGAAAATATCTTGCAGATCTCCTAAACTTCACTGGAGGATCAACAGATGACGCTTTGTGTTTCACAGGCAATTAGACATCTGCCTGCAACATCCTCCAATCAAATCTCGATCTGGTTCGACTTATTGAAATACCGCCGTATTCAGTCACTTGTGAGTAAATGGATCCACAAATCCCACTGTGGATGAGGTGAGCGACAAGTGGTTGAGTTGAAATGACACCGATTGACATGATTCAAGTCAGTTAAAATTACGTGGAGGATGATTTCATTGGTGCTTAAGAAAGGAAAATAATAAGCAAACACCGACTAACAAACTTACCCGTTATAGACGCCTGTGCTAAAAATGAGTAGACAATTGGTAAAAAATGGTTAATCAAACAATTTTGATTCGTCGCTTTCGTAATTTCGCTTTGTTAACCCGCACCACCTTGATCAACAGAACATATAAGGACACTTCACAGAGCAAACAGAAGCAGCCAATAGGATCGCCCCCTTTGTGATCATCTGGAGACTCGGTGTGATCCTTCGAGTAATTAAAAGAAACAATTAAAAAGACTGGAGTTGATTTTGGTATGCGGGCTAATTCGGCAATTTCACTTTCACTATAATGTGATGCCTCACTTGGACGGTGTGTGCACCAATGATATGCGTTGGGGAGCATCACTATCGTGATAGGCTGTTAAATGGCCAATCAGAACAGCAGTGAGATTCTTTTAATTTAGGCACCTATCTGATTGGACGTTCAAAATCACATCAACCAATCGCAACCAAGTGACCCGAACGGTTGAATTTCACCCTAATTGACGTGTTTTTTTTAAAAAAAATAAATTTTTACTTGTCTACCCAGTTACAAAGTCGTGTTCATCAAAATCGCATAAATTACGAAGTAAAACAATTGATATAAACAAATGACGAGCAGTGTGTGTTTAAATGCATCAATTGCAACTTAAACTGGTGGAAAAGAGTAGTCTAGTAAAACAAGGTGAGGTTACGAGCTTACAGGATCACTCCGAGTGGGATCTGCGGTGACTGGGAGAGGAGGGGAAGCCGAGGGTAGGATGGAGTTGCTTGGCGAGCCGCCAACGCGACGTCTGTCGTCAACCGCCTCGTACACCGACGAGTCGTCGTTGGAGTAGATGCCGATTGAATTTGGTCGTGAACCTGGCGGGGCGAGGTGGAGCACAGCATCGGTGTGAGCTGCGATCGCCGTCAGAAGCTCGCTCTTGTCATAGTAGTGGTTGCTCATCATTGCATCGGACAAAGGCCGACTGCGTGGCGCTGTAGGTAGAACACATTTTCAAAGAAACGGTTCTCAGTACTTCGACAACATGGCAGTGGCACGGAACTCACACGGTGGGCTAAGCTGAGGTCGTCGAATTACTCGACCGTGTCGACTACCGCGGGCACGATGGTTCTCGTCGTAGGTGAAGTAGTTTGCCGCGGAAGAGTCGTCTTCAAACGACGCGCCGTCCAATGAAACCGCGGGGTCACTCACTGCTAGGGGGGCCCTCGCGTTGCCCTTGGCAACACCGCTTTCCTCCGGCTTCTCTTCAGCCTCGCCACCGCCGGTAATTGAGGGCCAACTCGCCTGCTGGCCTGTGTCCGAGTCTAGGAAAAAAGAGCATTAATTCGAGTTAACGATTCGAAGCTACGTCTGTCATCAGTACTAAAACTGTACTACCATCTGAAAGCGAGCCGCCAGATACAACTTCGGTCACGGAGAGGTCTTCTGGCTGGTTGCTTGATCGACCGAAGGATTCCACGCCGTCGATCGGCTCCAGATACGTATCCATGTTGAGGGTTCCAGTCTTCTTCTTCCCACCCAAGGTGCTTGAATTGCCTTGAACCTAAAATAGCACGTAGATGAGCTAAGCCTTGATCTTCCACTGCATGCAGAGGCAACAAGCTTGACCTACAGCCACGGGGATGGACTGAGGAGGCTGTGGAGGGGGGATGGGAGGCAGTGGAGGCGTCTGACGGACTGTGCGTAGCATTCCCCCGGCAGCCCCTACGTCGCGGTGCTGGTGGTTCAGCCGGCAGACCGAGGGATCCACCAGACACACCTGGTGTCTGTGGTCCAGCGTCACGTGACCTGCGCTGTTTCGACCCAGCGAACCCAGTGGCGTGGCTACGGGGAGACAAACGAGAGCAAAACGGTCGGATGGCTTGACTTGGCGACATCAAAAGCAGCAATAAAACCACCATCAGGCTACCAAATATTTGCACAGGCAAGAGAAAAATCGATTGAATTATGCCAATGTTTCCCGGCGCCTCTAGGTGATGCCTTGTCGTTGCAACGTAAACACCTGTCACTGATTCTACACTGGACGCTTTTTCTGCAATTGACGTCGAGCGTTTACGTGTTACAGCTGATCCACTCACCAGCCTGGATAGTGGCGTCCGAGGTGTAACTGGACCTGGACTGCGTGGGACTCAGCAGGCCCACGGAGTTGCCGGAGGAGGGGAGGCCGGAGGAGACGTGTTGCCGCGACGACCAGCCGGTCGTGGAGGCGGTGAAGGGCTGGCGTTTGCCGTGCGAGAGGAAGGAGGAGCTAGATCCGCTGACGGCGGAGCGCAGGAACGTGGAGAGGCGCTTCAGACCCCCTGAAACGCCTCCGCGTGGCTTCGACTTCCACGGCAGAGTTGCCGAGAACACCTGACAAGAAATAAGAGGAAAAATTAACAGGAAAAACCGAGTCGTGAAGGTGAACACGAAGATTTTACCGATTGATCAACTCGGCCTTGCGTCAGCAAAATACGAATGCCAACGCGAAAGAAATTTGCAGACAACGAGGCAATGATATCATCATGGACGAATTTACGCACATCGTCCGTCGTTTTAGGAACTGTTCATCCGCTGAGGCGTGCTGCTGCATTGACCGCAATAAATAGTTGTCGGTCGTGGGGCCAATTCTGGTGAATATGCCGCGCGTGTGGGAGATCTTTCCATCCCAAGTTCAAGAGGGTCTTTTGAGTCGCAACGCGAGTTGGAGCGTAGTCATGGAGTGGCAGTATGACTCACCTGCTCCCTTGCTCAGTAAATGGCTTTTTCTGATCAAGCTCTTTGCTAGGGTTTGTTAAATTGTCGGCTCTAGCCTTCCACAGTTACCGTCTAACTAACGGTTTCCAGGAGTTCGTATTAAAGTACACCCTTCGTGTCCCCTCCCCACCAGATGCCCAGGAGAACCTTCTCTAAGTGGACGTCGTGTTTCGTCGTCGCAGTACTGAGTTGCCCAGGATCTACCCACGACACATTTTCATGAATAGACCCACCTGGTTGTCATCTGGAGCGTCGACGAAGCCATCCACCAGACCCTCGGCTGATGCGCCTTGGTAGGCGACAGTCATAGGTGACGGTTGACTTGGAGAAGCGCCACCGCTGAAGGGGTCCAGCGGCCCTGGACCCCCGGAGATATTCGTCGTCGCCGTGTCCGCGGACAGCAGAGTTTGCCGCCTCGTGGCCAGTGAGGTTGAGTTGGTGGTCACCGACGAGGGCGGGTGCTGGTTGGGGGCGTAGTTGTCCGAAATAGCCACCTCCAGCTCCGACGGCGGGGGTAGACGAGGTAGGGGGGGCTTAGACTGTGCTGGAACTGGGTGGAGGTTGCCCATGGAGACTGCGGTGGATGCGGGTTTGGAGATAATGGTGCCGCTCTCGAACCACTGGTGCTGGAGGTGGTGGTGGTGATGTGGAATCGAGACGGCCGACTGCGACATCAACACGGTTTGCCGACGAACCGATGAGAAGAAGGGGCTTTTGCGGTGGAACTGGCTCGAACCACGCCGCGAGAATGTAAGTGGACCCGACAGGGTGTTCATAAACATTCCTGAGCCCGGGAATCGACCCGGAAGGGTACTGCTTGTCACCAGCTTCGAACGAACCAATCGCGAGAGTCTAAAGAGGCAAGTGGGGGGCTTGTACTTGTGCTGTGCACCTTGCAGTACCCACTTCATGATGTTGGTATTACGTTTCACAAATTGAGGTTACCACAAACCACGTGGTTTTGTGCTGTTAGCGTCAGTGTTGATGCTAATGTTTCAGCCTAAAGTGCTCTTGAGAACCAATCAAAATGACGCATCATGGATTGAATGGTTTGATGCCATTTCAGTTATTTGGTGAGTTAAAAAATTTCGACAATTTACCTTTCTGGTAGACGGCATTTGGGATGTCTTTTGTTTGAGCTGGCTGACGTCAATACTGTTTTTTTTTTAAAAATAATTTAATCAGAACACAACTATCACTCACCTTTGCCTAAAAACAAAGATCACAAGCAGGAGAATGAGGAGGCAGAGTAGAAAGCCGAAAATGGCACCCACTGCCGCTAAAACACAAAAACAATTTCCGTTCTTTTTTGATACAAAAAAAGGAAAAAAAGACAAAATTGTCTTACTTATTGTGCTGTTTTTAAGTAAATCGCAGCTGAATTTTAATCTGGATCCGCTACATGTCGTAGTCAAGTTTTTGCAATTTGCGACCATTAAGGATGGTGAAATTTTGGACTTTTACCAGTTCTTGTAATTTTAAACACAAAAGAAACACGTGGGTGACTATTGTCAGAATTAGAGATAAGTAATTTTGCATAAAAAACCGCCATCTTTTCTAATTTAGCACAGATATTAGTCGGGGAGCGCAGCAATTGGTTAGTTTGACAATCAGTTAATAGAAATAGAGAAGACACACTTGTGGCCGATTGGAGAATCAAAATTTTGCAATCGAGTTTCGGAGGAAGGATTTTTTGGCGAAATTTTAAATGTAAATCAGGTCAAACTGAGTGCCTTTTTTTTAAATTGAATTGGTAAATTAATCATTACGGCTTGTTCGTCCTTATCGGGCTTAAGGTAATTTCCACAAGGACGTTAATTCGTAAAATGTCATTGCGCATTTTGAAATATGCGCCAAATCAGGTTTTACCTTTACCCTGAAGGTCACTGAAGATCTACTTCGTAGTCCCGATTCCCTATAGATCACTGATATGAGCATCTCAACCAATGAATTTGATGCACTCAAACGTCCGATTCGCCGAAATATCAAAGTGAAAATTTATGCCGCCGTTTGGTGAATTGCATTAGCAGTTTATAGCGATTAAACGAAGTTGTACAGTTCAAATAATGCTCGGATGCACAAATTACGCGTATTCAATTTTCTAGATCAAACACGCTACCCCTCCACAACCAATCAGCGGCCAACACGTACCCCGGTCTCACAGCTGTTCGCTCTACACACATTAAGTCTACCAAATATTTGTCGGAAGCATAAATTACTTTAATTCAATAAACGAAGTTATCGCCTTTGACGTTGATTAAAATTGACACGATACGGGCTTGGGAACACACCGCCTCGCTTCACAACCAATCAGAGAGCGGCATGATTTGCACACAAGATCCCAAGCGTTTATGAGTGCATTCGCGTCGAGGACGCTGCGACGACGCCCTGACACGTGAATCAGTTGTGTCCCTCCGCCTGACATTTCACATGAATGGCGTGAATCAGTGAACAAAGCAGGAAATACTGAGATCTCCTACCCGATGATCCATGCGAAAGAGCCACGTTATCCACCGCGCCTTTGTCTGTACCGTTGGAGTTCTCACTAACCATCGGGATCATCGGTGCAGCGAGGACTGCCGCCTCCGCCGTAGTGGTCGTCGTCGTTGTTGTCGTTGTTGTCGGGTGATCCGTCGGACTGGGTCTAGTTGTTGCCGTTGTTGTAAATGTTATTGTCGTCGACGACGACGGCGTTGTCTGAGTGCCATTTTGCGTACCAATTTCCCTTCTACTCTCCGCCTGTTCAACCAAAAGTGCCTTGATCTCGTCCGCTGGAGTAAGATAAAACCACCCCATGTCAATAACAAGAAGGGAACAAACTTGAGCACTAGGTAATCGCGCACTCACGCGTCATACAGCCTCCGGGGGGAAGCGACGGTACCCAGTGCCGGGTGTGATGGTCACATCTAAGGGCCAGTCGGTTCTGCAGTGCTCCCGGCTCCGTGGGATCGATGGAGCCATTGTTGGAAGGGAGCATGAAGCGTCCGATTGGACAGTGTATCTCGGCAACGGCAACTGTTGCCCCGGTTGCATCGCTGTGAGAGTGCAGGTAGTATCCCAATTGCCCTCCACCCGCTAGGTGACTCGGCAACTCCTCGCAGTACAGCACTGACCAATCAGGGTGAGAATTTGCCGTAAAACAAATCAAAACACCATCTCTTCATTCTACCTCAGTCAAGATGCTCTTCATTAACTCAATTTTTTCCCCTTTGTTTAAATTTAACTAGGTCAACATCATTTATGTTAGCAAGACGATTTCCACCCGTAAAATAGCTCCCTATTTGTGCTGCCATAATAAACCAATCAAAATATGGAGAATAGGTGGGTTAACCAATCAAAACGCACCACGCTCAATCACTCTATATCGGTTTAAAATAGAAACGTCGAATCAATACTTACAAATATACTCAAACAGAAGTCCCTTAACCCAACCGTGATGGATTTTCGGCTTCCCAGCGAAGGAAGTGTTCGAGATCTCCTGATGCAGTCCCGTTGCCAATTGAAGATTCACCTCGAAATCAATTGAAGTGAAATTATACACCGGACCGAGCGTGAGAGGCGATTCCAGCAAGGGTCCAGCGGCGAGTGAGTAGTGCTCGCTCACGTTGCCCCATCCGACCTTCGTGTCGGCGTAGGGACACACTTCCAGTCGCAGCCGACGTTGAAGGGATCCTATGCTTCCATCTACCGCGGTGACGTCCACGCGTAGGTAGTCGGCCAGACACGACTTGCCCACGGAGTCGCTCGGACACTGGAATGCCAGACTTGGTGGGAGAAGGCCGCCTTTTGAAACGGGACTATCTGGAGCCTCATCGTCCTCGTCATCTGGAATTGCATTCAAATTACTTAAGGAGACTGTAGAACTGAAAACCATCCAATCACATTTGAGCGATGAATTAAACACTCAACTCGACCCCCTTAACGAATCAATTTGCACGAAATGGCTGCTAATTTAGCCGATTTGACGATTTTCGCCATAACTCAGAGCTACGCGACAACGAAAAAGCTTTGTTTTGTTTTGCTTTGCAACCACACAAGAATGTGCCATTTAAATGTTTGTTCATCAGTTTGCCAAATCGAGACGTCAATCATTCACTTTGATCGACTACTTTATGGCACAAGCGGTGGTGTGTTAGAAATACAACTGCCTTTTCTCGAACGACTGCAACGTAAACAGTTGGAGTCGTGAAAACACGATTTATCGATTTTTTGCGGAATGCAGAGTGCATTCGGTGGTGCAGAAAGAGACTTTTATTGAAGTTGTGGCTAATTTCGCGACAAAATGCAATCAAAAGTGCCCGAATTTGCGTCGGTGTGGACTAGGGGTTTCGGGGGTGCCAATATGGTATCAAGTGACTCAAATGAAGAAGTAGCCTCGTCAAGCGTCGATAACAAACTCGATTTTCACTTCAACGATGCGTTGGCCAATGAGGACGCGCGATCCGACAGCGTTCTAACCAATTTGATTGGGTAACGATTACATCAACAAGCACAGAGATCGACCTGTCTCATAAGAATCCTCGAAATTTCCAGACGTTCTGTGAATTTCAACCTAACAAATGCTCGAGAACCGCACACCACGAGTTAGCTAAACTGAATCGACGTCGGAGAATGTTGGATAGGCGGAATTGACCTCCACGAAGACGGTAAATCAAGCAGCCGTGCTTATGATTAGTCGTTCCACCTTTGCCATGGAATTGAATTTCAACAAAATGGTGACTAAATGCAGAAATGATTCGTAGTACACATCACACACGAAAAAAGCTCCAGCATTGACACCCAACAATGCTGGCGATAATGCAGAAATTAATGATCCACTTGCCTTAATCGCTATCAGCACAAAAACGCGCCGCTTTTTTTGCTTCCTGAATGTGACGACGGGCAGTTTTTTTTGTCCGCGTTATACCATTAAATTTGGCATTTGGATTATGGTGGAAACGAACGAAGTCGTATCTAGCCCAGTACGGGTGATTTCGTAAACAGGACAGCAGAAGCGATGGAGAAGTATTTGATGGAGGCGCCGGATCACTATGATCGGATCTTGAGGTCAGTAGATGCCTTTTGGTGGCAAATGATCACATCAGGGGCCAGTGGACCCACTAGAACATCTCTGGCTGCATTTCTGAACTCGAAAAAGTGGTGTTGCGTTGAAATTAGCTCTTACAGCGTCCCCTTTTAGTGTGGATTCCAAGCTCTTCCGATATTAGGTGCCCCGTGACGGTCGAAATTTTGATTTTGTGGACTTGTCTCCAACGGAGACGCAGATTTCGCGTCACATGCCATCGCTGCATTGCGACTAGGAGCATGTGTGTGTGTGCGTGTGTGCGAATGTGATGCCGTCTCGAAATGTGGGGTCACACGGATTGATGGCACTCAGCTGGTGAGCACTTTCAAATTGGGAGGTGTAGTAGAAATGCCAACGCCAGACGCACATTGTACCACACACCTTAACAACCAATGAAAATTTGAGTGCATTTGCGGGTTGCAAAGAGGGAACAAATCTTGAGTAGTGGGAAACACCTCCAGGAAGGGAATAAGTACCTCTTGAACTCTGAATTATGGAATTCCTGTTGGTAAATCCACAAAAATTGTTTAGACCTATTTTGTCTTGACAACAAGGCAAACGAGATGTATTTAATTTGTTATTACGATGTTGTATGCTTAGCATTTTCTGGGTTGTCCCATGATCGCTTGACAATCATTGTTTTAGCGAAGTGACGGGCTAAGCAGTAGGTTTGAATCCCACCAATCAGAGAGAGGGTTACCGAGGTTGGAAGGTGGTAAAAATTTGCTCAGCCTATATGTGCATCGCTTTCGTTTAAACCGTTGGACGAATTGAAAAATCAAGGAATACTTGGTGATCGTTTAAAAAAACAATCGGCTGTGTAGTCATCAGCATTTTTGGCGAAAAATCTGAAAGGATGCTACGCGACCAGGAAATCTTGGAGCAAATTTTGACAGAGTTGATTTGTTGAAATCACTGCACACTTTAATGGTTTCGATTAATGTGACCACTTAATGGCTACGGATGTAAGATGAGTTCAAACGATTGACTATCCTTGGTAATGAAGAAACACCAAATGAAAAGTTGATGAGTTTTAACGTTTCTTTTGCTACAGGACTTTAGGAACACGACTAATTTGTGAGGAATACTGGTCCCGATGAGACAAAGCTATTGGCTATTAGAAAACATTTTGATGAAATTGAATCTCAGCAGTCGAATCTGCATGGCATCGAATGGGTTTGGAATAATAAGCCCACTTCTCATTCTTCAAAATCAACCCTGAATGAAAGCGAGGCTGCACAACTCAGCTACAGCCCTCCTCGTGGGCTGGTGAGCGCCACTAAACTGCAAGTGTCGCAAGTTTGCTGGCCCCGGTGCTAATTTCATTTGAAAATATTTCGATTCAGGCTGAGTCTGCTCATTACACAGGACGCGTTTATTTATGACCACCCAATCAAGTACGTCATTTCGTTTTTGGTGTTGTAGGCACACACACACACACCCCTCCACGATGACATCCAGAGCGGTTGGGTGCGGTGAAAGCCGTGATGGTGTGGGAACAGGGCCAGCGCAAAATCGGTGGGGCGGACTCAACGGGGCGTCTGCGTGAGTGCGCGCCACGCGTGCGATTATCGTTCATTCGCACGCACAAATCGATAACAAAGAGTATCGATCGATTGCAATTTACTGCGCTCCAGCACATACACGCACACGCGTGCGTGCGTGGGTGCGTGCGTGCTTGCGTGCGGACGTGTGTGTGTCTGTGCTATTGCCGAATGCACAGCAGCGGTGGCAAAGAAGCCGACTGTTGGGGTCGTGCGAGCAGCTTCGCTTTTTGTGAGAAGAGGCGAAATGCTGGTTTGTGTGCAGATTGCACGAAGGCACGTCTTGTCCTCAAAACAGGCTTGCCGGTTACTCGAGAGCACACATCGCAATTGCACTCACTAAAAACTCATGAGCGTCCTAAACATCCTCCCTGCCGGAGGCAACATTTTCAAATATAAGCCCCCTCCTACACCGCATAATTAGTGTTCAACTTAGCGACGCGTTAAACCCGATTCGCAGCCTTGCTTACGTCTTTCATGCGACTCCGATTGCACCAGTGCTTTTTGATTGGTCAAAAAGGCAACATATGATGCTCTAGATGGTGACAAAGTTGGCAACTGCTATTTGAGCTATCTGTATGTGGGTTTTTGTGCATTTCGGCGAACAACTGATGGTTGAAGTTCTACGACACCTGAAAACCACGCCCCTCATTTAAGGCAGGTTCGATCGAATGCGCGTGACCAATCAGCTTCATGAATGAGCTATATGGGTCCAAATCGATTAGATCAGACGTCCAAAATGAGAAAATCAATAAAACTACCAGGCACACTGTAATGTGCTCAAGTGCATTTGCTACCCAAAGCAATCGAAGCGCAAAATTTTAAGGAAATTGCAAGAGGCACTAAGAAGAGGGTTACCTTTCCCAACCAGAGGCGATGCGTGCTCCGGCGTTTTTCCTGAAAATTAGCCAAAGATAGCTAATTTTTTCGCATGTAGGGACTTTCCTTTAACTGCTTAGAGAATTGGCATTGCTCAGAAGCGAAGCGGCATAGAAATACTCGTTGATAACCCATTTTACGGTTTTGTTTAAATGAGGTCCACTCATTGGCAAGTTTTAACGGATAAATTTCCTGATTACGTACGAGGATTCACCGAATGCGTTCTAGAGATGCTACTAGACACAAATTTTCCCAAAAGACTGCTGTCTTAAAGGTAATAAAACTGCTTAAGACTTAGTAACAGTGCGATGCCGCATTTGGAACCAATCGTTTCGTGTATTTGTCACCGTGTTTAATGATGGAAAGCAGAAAAAAACTCATAACGTGAGACATCGTGATCGTGGGAATATGGGATTGTGCTGCCGATGGTTCCTCACTACCCCCAACTGTGGGACTTGCTCTTTATTAACGAGGCCTCTGGAAGCACCATTCTTGACCAATGAGAGCACGACATTTGATCTGACAACGCACATTTCGCAAAAATCAACGTCAACTTTTTCTAAGCTACGAGATTTATCTCAGACGGGCATAATGAATTTCATTGTGGTGTACTACGCAGTTAAAGCGTTCCGTGGTTCTTGTCGAAGTAAGATTTGGATCTTACAAAAAATTCCGATTTGGCCTACTTTCTAGTCTTTAAATCTCTGGTTTTTAACGTGATAAATTTGCTGTCCACATCAGCAAAATGGTACCATTGATGCCCTTTGTAGAAGGAAGTCGAAAGATGGCTTCCCCTAAGATCGATACGAATTACAGTTACCGGGGATAATTTGAAGATTCTGGGACTAATCTAGCCAACTGAAACTCCAGGTAAGTTACAGATTCATGGAGCAAGCGATCATGCAAGAGAAGAATACAGGAAAAGCCGATATTGGGTGTCGAACGAACCATGGAATCGATTACTAAGAGGGGGTTCGAGATTTAGAAACTAATGTTTCTTCTCATCACCTCAAATTATTCGAGAAAGAACTGGTTCGGGCTGTCTGGGAGGCAAGAAACGAGAAATGAGTTGCGAAGTTGTTGTTGATTTTAAAATACTTCAAAGTCAGTGCAATGAAACATGATCTATCTAAATGCACAAACGCACGTGCATTTGAAAATTACGCATCAAACGACACGCGGCAACGCATCTCATTGCAAACGATACTTGAGATATGAGGGGGAGTGACTGTGGATGACTCAAAAGGGTCAACGCGTGACCTTGCGATGGATGATAAACAACAAGCAATGCTCAAATGCCTCATTATTCCATGAAAATGGAAATTTAATCGGTTTAACTCAAATGGTTAGGAAAAAGATTTTGCAACTCGCTACCTTCGCACTCAGAGATTGATAAAATTCGCTAAATAACGCTGTGTTAAATTGGTGAGATAGTACAATCCGTCAAATTGGGAGAACGACTAGTTTCGGGTACAATAGACTGGATTAAACACCTATTCGTTGAGCATAAAATCTTTGTAACCAGCGACGTCTTACTCAACAATAGACATAAATTCAAGGAATTCATTAGGCACAATGTTTAACGTTTTAATTTGTAGCTTTAAATCATCAGGTCTGTTAACTCCAAGAGGGATTGATATCACCGCCAGTAAAGGTAAAAATAAGGAAGATGGGACGTGGATTTGTGTCAAACTGGCAGCCCAAAATCCTTATGTTCAAGTGAACGTTTGAGCTAATTTGTTGTAGAATAATATCACAACCTGTTCTCCAATCAAATTGATTAAAGTTTATGTTTGATTTCTTACAAAGTTCTGATATAGGGTGCAGAATTATAGCAAATGGAAACTAAGATTGGCAGAATATATAAAGGAACGACTTATCCGGGTACATAACTAATAGGGCGCTAAAGCCAAGATGAATCATAAAAAAGGTTAATGCGAAAATTGTGACACTACAATTGGCCTAAAAAGTAATGTTATTGGATTCAGAACACTTAGTCTAAATCAATCAAGTTAAATATTTAAAAAATTTATTCCGAATAATGGTAATAGTTTTGTACCTATCCTGGTTGATTAGATTAAGCAACACTATAAAAATATGCACACTTATTAATCCCTGAGAGAGAACAGCCAATTACTTACGAACATTGATAACTTTAAAGCCCAACTGGACGGTTTCAAAGGGAAAAATGAATTTTGCAAAAATTCCCAAACTAAAAATAGCTGCTTACTTTTAAGAGACCGGTGAAGTTCGCCAATGTCCTTAAGCTTAAGAACGATTCCGAGGCCATCACCTGGTGCAGGTATGGAGAAGACACCTGGTAAATTCCACTGCGAGCAGTACTCTTCAGACAAATCCGCCTTCCACTCTGGAGTTTTAACCGACAATTGATAATCTTGAGTTGCTAAGTATCCACCCGCGTGGTCTGCATCTAGTCCTCTTGCGTCTTGTATTGACGAGAGAAGAGCTATAAATGTGCATTCAAAAACATGGTGTTTTAAGAATTAAAAAAGTGGGAAGTAATAACTAAGTAGCATAGCCGATAACATTAAGTAGCCTCGAAAATACATACAGCTAACTATTTCTGGTAGTGCACATGGTGTAGTTAACAAGTCAAAAGAGAGGCAAATTTAACATATAAAAAGATGGAAATGTATTTTTCGTACTTACTTGACTTGATACAGGAATATTGCACAAAGAGGACAGGATGAGGTGAAGATGGTTCAACAATACCAGCGCACTTGCTCCTTAATGACTTTGAAGATAGGTCGCGTGAATAATGCACTATAGAATCACAGGAGTGATGACCTGTGCATAGTGAGGATACGAAGTATGTTGTGTCGATCCAGCACTCAATTTTTGATTGCGCTTGACATGAATTGTTAGTTCCAGAATGCCCAAATGCTGCAAAATTAACTAAAATGAAATTGTCTTCGCTGCAGTTTATGGAGAATGGTACGCCATAACAGGCTGTGATAGAATCTAAAAGAGATAAGAAATATAAAAAAAGTCAAACAAACCTGAGTAAACTAATTTAAAACTAAATATGAATTCATAGAGAATTACTGCTATAGTGACATGGCTGAGCATCCTTAATCCCTCATGAAAACATCAAAACCCATTTCAAGGTCAAATTCGAAAGTGTGCACTAACTGAAGATTCGAGGTAGCTCATACTTAAAACAATACTTTCAACCAACGTTAAAAGCATGCCAATTCTCAATTTTATCCAAATTAATACCACTAAAGTGCCCACGATTATATTTGGTCAAAATATTGTACTATTACCGTATTACCTCATAAGTAATAGATCATTGATAAATTAATTTAAATTAAATAAATTCAAAAGGTCAGCAGGGTGATTTTTGCCATAGTTCTGGTTTTTTAAAAACTATTTAGATTAATTAAAAGTAGTAAGCTATACTGCGATAAAATTCTGGTATGCTTCGATTTTCGTTGGATATGTTTAAATGAATTGTCAGCGAAAGAGCGAAAATAGAGCCTAATTGCAAGTTAATTTAACATTCCAGATTGAAATTACAGTTGAAAAAATGCTGCAAGTAACACATACTTATGAAGAAAATAGGATTGTTATTCGATGCCTAATTATCGTATCGTCTGTTGCTCTTAACTTGCAGTGATGCAAAGCGTGGCAGAAAGCTACCACATCCCAAAAACAAAAATGCTTTAAATAATGAGATCCTGCAAAGCGTCACCGTCTCTGTCAGGCAAATTTGTCAGGACCTTATAAATAAAAGCTTGAGTAAAGAAATCTTTGGCTAACTGAAGGGCATTTATCTGGCAGTTTGATTTATCGTTGCTTTGAATTTGCTTGTCACATTTTTTCACAGCTGGTAAATCAGATCATTTAGGCCAGGGCTTTCATATAAATACATATTTCCGATTTTCATGTTTAGGTTATTTCACATCTCAATATATTTATAACAATAAAACTGTTCCAAATCTTTAGGTTAAAATTTTCAGAAAAATGCACGATGATTGTACAAATGTGGGCACTTTGAGGTAATATCTTTATTCGTTATGCACAATAAAGCAATTTTAGTAAGCTCATGAGATAATGTTTAGGTACACAATTTCTATGGGTTGATCTAGAGTATTTTGGGTTGAATTATCTTTTAAATATTTAAATATAAAAGGCACGCATGGATTATTTAATAAAGCAGGATTTATATAATTATTGCATAATTATAAAATATGCGTAACAGCTTTTCATTTCGTAATAGTTAAGTTAACTTTTCTGATCAGTTTCGCAGTTAATAAAGCTATTGGTTTTTCTAAACACTTTAATAAGGGTACTATTGCCTCTATTTATTGAAGCTATGTGAAATATCCACTTCTTATTTTAAACTCAATTTATTACCTTTATTTGGATTTAGTCAAAAATAATTAGATTTTTGTAAATTATATTGAAAATTATGGGAAAAAAAAACAAATTAGCATACTCTGATAACAACTATATGTGGACCCTCAATAAGGTGATAAAAAGTTGCCAGGTTTTAAAGATTCCAATTGTCGACGCGGTTTCTTCGAACAAGTGTTCCTTGCTTACCATTCGCGGGGTTTTCCGTTTCTTGACATGGCCGGTAAAATACTTCCCTACGTCAATGGTTTCCTCGTCGCACTGCGTTGGGTGTTTCATCTAGGATATCTCCCATTCGTTATTTACCTCGGAATGACAAATCAGGGAGTTCCACTTGAACAACCTATTACTCTCATGAGCGTACTCCTTCCTTTTGCATCACCTCAATGAGGCTCGCATGCTTCGTATTTTTATTATTCAACAATGAATATTAAAACCGCGGTCTATGTTTTTATTTACAAGGAAATTTTGCATTGCCACTTATTCTAGGTGATCGCAATTGAGTTGCGTTGCCCGTATTCCTGTGGTCTGTGACTAAAGGCATAATACTTGCTAACCTAGCTTGCTGGTGAGATTAACCAAAACCAAACTAATTAATTCATTGCGGAAATATTCACGACGGCTCAAGGCATAATAGCTTCTATCCGAAGACTAAGTGACCGGCCAGCGCCACTACGGTTGCTTTGTAGCAGAACAGACCAATGCGCTTAACACCATGCACAAAGGTCCTTTAACAAAGCACTGGGGCAGAAACAGGCCATTTTAAGGAAAACATGCTGGCAGAGCCGCGACTGACGATCGAAAGAGTATAAATTACAATACAAGACTATTGTTCTGGTCGAAGTTGAGTGGCCTCAGGGCTGAATGAATGCAGGAGGAAGGGGGCTAGGGGGCTGCTGCGTAAAAGCATCTCCACAGGGGTGTCGCCAGCGGAGTTGCGTGAATTCCATAAGCGCATTGTGTCCCTGTTTGCAGATATTTCGGCCAGCAGGTAGACCAACGTCTCCGGTGTCTGGTTATTCGCCAAGGCAAGGTGCAAAACAGTTTGTCCACTGCTTGTCACTACAATAATCATGCGCATTAACGAAACCACAAAACAGCAAAGGAAATGAAATAGGGTGCTGTGAGTTTTTATGGGTTCCAATCTGCAGGGAGACGTAGGATGGATAATAACCCCTCTTCCCGTGTCAGAAACGAGGACGTGAGAGAAAACTATCACATTAGTCTCGATGACTGAGCCACACTTTCGGTGAGGCAAAATAAGCTTACCAGCTGTGATGTCCGCTCCAGCTTCCAGAAGGAGCTGTACACAAGCAAGCTGGTTCCAAAATGCGGCACTGTGCAGTGGTCGCCATCCATCGGCAGTGTGGGTCTCCGTTTTCGCGCCAAGTTGAAGCAGAAACTTTTAGGAAGTAAGTAAAGTAGCGTAAATTACAAACCACACATATCGGATTAGGACTCGCGTGAAATCATTTTCAGCAATTTCCAAGATCCATGGCTTTGAGTAATACAAGCAAGCCCACCCATTAAGCAATTCAGTGGTGGTTACAGCTTCGATTCAAGCAGGTATTAGAGGGAGGCTTGTACGCCTGCGCAAACTCAATTATTTCCGATTTAATTGAGCAGGATGCTACCAATATTTGGCGCCAAATCGGCAAGAAAAGTGGTTACTAGATCGCCCAGAGTACTCCGACTATGATCTCAACGCAACCAATTCAGTGTTCTATTCATGAACGGTGTTTCGTACACCAAAAACGATCGCAGGCGAACAGAAGGAGACAAACCTTCGCAGCGTCATACTGTCCCGAGTAGACAGCTCGATGTAACGCTGTGTAGCCATCGCTGTCGTGGGCGAAAAGAAATTCCACCAACTCTGCTTTTTTCTCGTCCAGATTTTCCCCTACTTCAGTCTTGAGGATGCGTTGCATAGTGGCCAAGTCGCCTTTCTGACCAGCGAGAATAAATTGCTTCTTTGAGTCCTCTAAAAGGAAGTGTTTTGTCTGTTACAACTCGTTTTGTTTTGAGTCTATCGAAAAAGCCTTCAAGAGGAGGCAAGGATAGTTGTTTGTTTAGCTTCTTATTATCAATGAATCGCACCAAATTCAACACTATCTATTCACTGAACTTCTGAGGAGGTGACAATATTTCGTCCCCCGTAAGGAGTCATGAGCAAGGAGGATTCAAAAAGTTTACAAATATATATAGCTTGATATACTCGGGATTTTCGAAACAAAACAAGACGGTCAAGACCTACTTTTTAGCTCCTTTTTTGACCAGTAGTCGATATCCTCTTCGTCAGCTTGCCAAGCGCTAACAAACATGCCAGGATTTCTTTCCTTTGCTCGCATTACCTAAAAATTATATAAACTAGGCTCGTGGAGGCGACATTTAGATGATGTTATTCATAATTAGAAAAAAAGTAGGAAACCTGCCCACCAAAAATTTGATGAAAAAATTACCCCTTGGTACTTTTATTTTAACTCAAAAACGAAGATTCACGACATATGGAATACCCCAAAAACTACAGCAGGCGAAACACAACTGCCAAGATTTAGCAAATGCTTAGGCTAGTTACTGATGAGTAATTTTTATAGACTAAAGCTGAACATTCATTGTAAATATTGATAACTCATCAAATCTACTCACTTCCTCCGTGGAATAGCGCAATTCTGGAGGAAGATCGCTATCGGAATCGGAGCTCATCTAAGAACGAAAAAACGCTTGGGACCTTAATTTTTTATAGGTAAAAAGAAGAGCCGGATGTTTCGTTTCGATCATAGGTTTATTTGCAAAATATACTACAGGGTTATCACGCAATTTAAAATGTTAAGCTACAATGCGATGTCCAACACCGGTTCCTCACTCGTATATATCATACTTGTCACAGATGTACTGGACAAAATCAAAAGGCGTGCGCAGTCGCAGGGCCTCAGCATCAGGAATATCAAACATGAACTCCTGTTCGATTGCCATGACAACTTCAACCATGTCAAGGCTGTCAAGACCGTACTCCTTGGCCAGGTCTGTTTGAAGTGTTATCTAAAAAAGTGGCAAGGTGAACTAGCAGAGGTATGCAAACTTTTTCCGGATCAACTTTGTCGTATAGGCGCAGAACGAGCATCACCCTATCTTCAATCATCGGTTTAGAAAGAGGAGGCCCGTGACCAAAGCGTCTTATTTGGAAAGTTAGCCTAGCTGGGTAGATAACCATTTGAGAACTTGTAATGGAGGGACGAGCAAGTTTGGCAGTGGAAACGTGACGGTACTTAACAGGTTAATTAGGATCAATAAGGTTACTTGAATACAATTTTTTGCCGCAATTATGCTACGACAAGAGTTACGAAGATTAAGAAAACAGCGACTCATCCCGTGAAACATCTTAGAACAACTGGCTCCACCAATCACAGACACGCCCTAGATAATTCATGAAAGGCGCCTATATGGTATGAAATGATAAATGAATATAGGATAAAAGAGACGAAAAGGGTGTCTACGGATTTGCTTTGTGTACTTATTCTTGTCTTTAGCATTTTTTTGGTAAATTATTTATTGTCACAGTGCAGTAAGGCTGATAGTCACCGCAGTAACAGTACGAATTAAAATGTTTAATTCTAGGGTCCTGATAAGGTATATCCCATGCTGTTTTAGTATGATATGAAATAATCCTATGATCCGTGATAGCTTAGCGTTCATATTCCTTTGAACAGTTCCATTTCTCAAATAATTTCATTAGATGCAAATTAGTTATATAAATCAACTTCAAAATAAATTGATATTATTTCAATACATTGAAGTAATCTTACATTAAATGTTATATTAATATAATTATTTTGTGCACATCCTTATTAATATTAGGATTTTCTAAGATTAGATTATGAACCCAATGCAAACTTCTACTTGTCCTCAATGTTTTATTAAGGAAATTTCATTTTATAATCAAGACAGACGCGTATTTAATGGGATTTCTGTTCATGTACCACAGTAAATATAATTCTGACCATTAATGCTTGTTTTTAAAAAACTTCATTTCCCGTCAAAGTCTAATGAACATAATTTAGAATTTATGGTTATGAGGATATCTCTTTACTACACTTACATGCAAAAGAATCATACCACAATTGCCTCTTTTAATATTGGACTTATGTTTGTTGGACAGAGGCATATTTTTGTGGTTATCAAAGGAGACGTAACAAAATGTACCTCTATTTAAATATTGATGTATTTAATCGGCACCCGCAATAATAATTCAGCGTAATCAGTAATAATTTAGTCGATGTGTGCAATAGATTGTGTTTGGTTCAAGGAATCAAGCCCAAATGTCTTTTTTTTCTTTTTGGCAAATCGGTTGCAGTAGGTCGTGCTGATTAACGTCCATTAACTCGGTTTTTGCATTTTCCGATACACTAAGTTCCTTTTTACGGCTTTTCTATCGACCTTGCTAAACTGTTTGAGCATTTACCCCTGGTTGTGTCGTTTTTTTCATTTACATGTTGACCCAGATTGCATTGGTCAACAATCCTCATTTCCTGGACAGGACTTCTATTTCATGCGCATTGGCATGACAGTAAATTTTGCTGAGCTGCCTAATAAGCGATCGTGTTTCTGATATCTCTGGCTTTTGTGTGACGGAGTAAGCGGACCAATTCAGCGTAGCGGCCCCGACGTGGCTCTCTACTATATGCCTAGGCCTTCAACCACATCCTCAGGACTTCAACATGATCATGGAGGGTCCAAAAAATAAAGCGTGTAGAAAACAAAATGAATCGACAGCAAATTTCTAAGATCAAGAAATATAATAATCACGTGGAGCCCAAGACACCTCCGTCAAGTTCATGTTTTCAAAGAAAAAGAAATGCGACATCAGCGCGGGTTGGCGTACAGCGCTTTTAATGAGGATAAAATTGCACCGTAAACTGAATCTAAACCAGCTGATCAAACGACATCAATAATTTTTAATCACCACGCATTCCATTAACCTTCGGAATTTGTGACCACTACACGCGCAGTTATGTGGATTTAATGATTCTCAATCTTATCATATTCACGTTTATACGCCAAGATCTTCATAGTTGCCAGTATATGAACATGAGCAGGCTGTATTAACTCAAATACGGCTGATTACTTAATCGGCCGTCCGTCGCGGAGTTAATTCAGGCACGTCGGATGTCAGCACAAAATGGGGAAGAACACCGCACGGGTAAAACGTAACCACACCCATCTTTCCTCGGCAAACTGAGTGTTCCTAACTTGAGCAGTTAAAAACCGAACAACTCAAGTTATCAAATTTATTTACAACTCTATAAAGCAAAAAAGAGCGACCTTTTGGTGTAAAACAAAGAGCACATTGTCACAATCGCAGTGTTGATTGGTTCAAAAGGATAAACGCTAAAACGCCAGGACAAAGAACATCGAGGTACGCGAGCCAATTAGACGCGTTGAGCGGATTGAGTCGAGTTGATTGTCACGTCTGAGCGGTCTATGTCCTGTGTTGAGGCATTCGACTGTCTGCATATTCAAAAAAACACGAAAATAAGACTGATTTAGAAGTGACTCAGCGTGGTAAACTGTGTAAACACAAATGCTAATTAGATGCGGCTTACGAGTGCTAAAAAGGGGCTGCATTTTTGCCACTTACGAGAGCAATTTCAAGCGCATCTCACTCAATTTCTGGTTTCCGAGTGGGTAGAAGTAGAGGAAGATGAGAGCCGGAACGAGGAAAGCCACCGACACAACTGAGGAGAGGAAACGCAGAGCTCTCCCAACCTCAGGCACTTGAATGCACGCCTCTTTTTTCGAGTTGTACCCAACCAGGCTGAAAGGCAGTTTGACAATTGATTACACTCTGCGCAAAAAATAGGTGAAGTGGGAATAGCAACTGGGACGCGAAGACTCACTCAAGGACGCCAGCAGACATCGCCAGTGAAATCCCAACGGCGAATTTATTGAAGAAAACGATTAGCGAGTAGAATACTGCCTCCAATCGCATGTTGTGTTCCAAGTAGAAGGCGTCAATCACGTCAGGGAGCATCGACCTTGTGGGCAAAAAGAGGAACGATAAGTTTACGCAGAGCCTCTATGTCCAATTTAATCTAGTTCGAAATATGACGTCCATATAAAAGTAGTATTTTTAATGTCTAATTCAATCCTGGATGATTTGGCTAGTCTAGTCTGGTATAGCGACCAATCAGGTACAAGTACCACTGACCAATCGGATGCAAATGCACCTGACCAATCAGATACGAGTACCTCTGACCAATTGTACCTCACTTGAGGAGATTTTGAATCGAATATGAGATTATGTTTGCTAGTTCGTGTCAATTCATCCCCCTAGCACCCTCAAAAATATGACTGTCTTCTCATTGTCGGGAATATCTTTGCGTTATACCTCGAACCTCGAGGGGGCTTAACTCACCAAGGCAACAGCATTGCGACAGCAATCGTAAACGCAGCCCAGATCATCATTGCGAAAAACACGTAAACCGGTGGCCTTTCTGGCAGGAAGAGGAGCAGGAGCAGCAAGGGGAAGGCATTCTAGAAATGATGGAACATCAGTGTTGGGCCAGGTCTGGCAGCAAGCTGATTTGAGCCTTTTGACTTAAACAAAATCTACTTGCGCGGTGGCGTGATAAGTACGCAGACAGTAAATTCGCCCTGGCATGAGCTCGACTCACCGGCCGTCTAAACATAGCGCAAGCAGCACTGGGCCAAAAGTTATACTTAGTGATTTTATTCAGGTGTGTTTCAGTTTAAGATGTTTCAGACGACGCGATATCACAGCACCTACAAAAGAACCTCACAAATACCTGCACAGCTGACACCAATTTTCTATCAAGATAGTGCTACCAGAACAGCTGACGTGTGATTGAGAGAAAGAAGCGTAATCCGCTCAAGTGTGAGTGACATTTCATGCCTGTGAGGCAACAGAAAACGCACCAAAACACGCGATATTTTGTCCAGCCTTACAAATTACGGCGTCACGCCCTACTTACTGACTCCCATTTATCCAGAAACGTCGACCAACTGGCGTGTCTATTGTTACAAACGATGTTTTTTTAAGGCCACACCGGCTCCACTTTTTCTGCCTATTTTAAGCAGCCAGAAATTGTTTGGGTACACACACTCAACAGCGTGTGGGAGGCGGCTTGATCGCCGTGGGAAAGATGTGCTAGGACAAGAATTATGCACCGCCAATAGGCCTGCAGAGCTGATACCTACGCCCAATACCCACCACGCAATCTGTTACAGAGCAGCTAGGGGCCTACTTTACGCCTCCTAACAAGCCTAAAATGTAGATTTCTGTAAATTCTCACAAGCAATTAGACTTAGGGATCGTTTAGCACACCGAGTTCGCACGCCCAAGGTGTGAACCAGGGATATTAGCGCATTTTGAGACATGTGTCGGGGGTGATTGATCGACCTTCAAGTGACAAACAACTGCAATCTGCGACTCACCAAAGTGCCCATGGCCAGAGTGGTCTTTTTCCCGAGTCGGCGAAGCAGAAATTGCGCGAACGGCACGACCAGAATGGTGGTTGCGAGGAGTGCCGTAATGCCCGGGATCATGTAGCCGCTCATCTTCAGGGAGTGCGTGATGTAGAGCGAGAGGTTGCCTTGCACGAACTGTGGCGAAATGCAAAAACGGGCTTCTTGTGAGACCATGCATAAATGATGATGATAACTGGGTGGTGGTGGTGGTGGTGGTGGTGGTGGTGGTGGTGGTGGTGGTGGTGGTGGTG